TTTTTGATTAATAAATTTGTTGTTTGTTTATAAATCTTGTACATAGTATTGGTTAAACTTGATTAAACATTTATTATTGAGATTTTTTTGTGACTAACTTTGTCCTTAATTTATTTCAGTGCACGCTAAAAGTCCAGGCCTGGCAACTAACAAACGCGAACCCGCGTAAAGTACCCGTTAGGTCCCGGCTCTAAGAAAAATATCGTTGTAGAGCAACAAATTAAAAAGAGTACTTTACACACTTGCTATGACTTCATTAGATATAAACACAACAATCAATGTTAAATCATTCCTGGCACAGGTAGTTGTTTTTATAATGTCTTTGTAATCTGATATTCTTGTACAATATCATAAATATTTTGATTTTGTACATACAAGGTAAAATCTTGAATAAACTGTTATTTAACTGTATTGCTTTTATGAATTCTAATCTAGTAACATGACTTTGTATATCAGTTTGATGCTTACACCACACTGTATCAATTAAAATGCCAACTGGATATTAATTGTAAATCATAATGCTAGATTCTTAACTCTGGCACTGGCTAGTGATGTTAAAATATTACTATGGACTCCAGTATATTTCCAGTTTAGAATTTTAAGATTGCTAGCCACATATATAATATGATAAGCAGTATAAATTAATATAGTCCTATGATATATATTCATTTGATATAAACTGGTCCAATACATAATTTTATTTCCATTCCATAAAATTAATAGTTGGTGGGATTTAACTTCTCTTCTAAAATTTAATTTTATGTATAGAAAATCCTTTACAAATTATATTACAGACATAAGTAACTTTTACAAAACATTAATATGGAAAGTATAATAGTACATCATACTTTTAAACTTAAAACTTATACTGTACTTACAATTATCTGCAATTACATTTTCATTTTTAACTAATGAACGTGTTGGTGTTTCAGCACAATTTCTTGTCTCATGTTCTGTCCTGTTCTTTATCATTACATACTGTTTACACAGAGGACAGATCTCAGTCCTGCTGCCACAGTACGATTCATGTTCTTCCATTTCGTCCAAGGAGCATTCTAATTCACAATATGAACACTGCACCACTCTCTTGGAGCACAACAATTTCTTAAAATAAATGTCTAAAATTTACTTATAAAAATTTAATATAAACAAAATTAAGTTTAAATAACTTACATGTTCTTCCAACTTCCAGCGTTCCATGACTTTAGAACACTTCTCACAGACGATTTGACTATGCATTTCTGTATTATGGATTTCAATTTCATTTCTAGAGACAGATTCATTACATTTTTTACATAATACTATATTGCGTTGACAATGCATAGTGTGCATTAAGTAATTTGCAGCAGCTATGTCTTTTTTGCTGTCAAAATTTAATAAAAATAGTTAATCTTTATAACTTTAAATAATTAACTGGTGGTTAAATAAGTAGTTACATTACACCAATATAATATTAAAACTTTATTTTCTTGTACTTATCATTACAAAAGACAGATTATGATAATGAACAATGTATCATGCTACTGTACTATCTGATATAAGTGCATTTTAGTGACACCAATAAGTTGTCAGAAAAAATTTTATTAGTAAAATAAATAGAGATGACCCAATAATAATGACAGTCTTGAAAATATATTAATTTACTAGCTGTTACCCATGACTTCACATGTGCAGATTTTGCAAGCAAACCCCATTTATATTCAGTATTTCAACAACCAATAAAAACATACATAACACCTACCGCTGAGAATGATGAGAATTGCTAAGAATCAAATGAACTATTTCCAATTTGATCAATTTTCTGGAACATTTACAATCGTTCTATAATTGAACCAATACGCAATAACAAATTCGAATTTAAAATGGTTTGAGCATTTGGTTAAAAAATCGAAATATATAAAAATATTTATAACAATGTCTGAAATATTATCAATTTAATATACCTGAGTACTCAATGAAGACTAAACATAGTTGAAACCAAAAAATCGCATCTAAAATAGTACAATAAAAACCATTCTTCAGGTTAAGCCTTAATCTTTTCCCTCTCCCCCTCAAGGAAATTTTGAAAAATCCCTTCTTAGTGTGCATTTTTCATGACGTACCCTAACTGTGCACAAAATTTTACCTCTTTAGGTTCAGCGGTTTTCTCTGTGCGATGATGAATCAATCACTCAGTCAGAACAAGTAATTTTATATATCTAGATGACATCAAATGCCCTTGTCATGTATAAGAAGCCATGAAACTTGATGGCTTTATATTGAAAGATAACTAAGAGTTTAAAGAATTTTTCCAACAGTTCCTGGAGATAAAACAAATACTTTTGTAACTTTATAAAATTTAATAAATCAATGTGTAAAATAGTTTCTGTAACTTCTTTTGAATCAATTTTAAAAAATGATTAAAAAGAAACTTACACTTTAATGTCATTATGTAATTTTTAACAATTAAAATCAGATTAAGCAGTGAGAAATAGTTAAATTTTTGTAACCATCTTATGCTTGCTGAAAAATACAGTCACCTTGCCTTAAAAGAACACTGGTAAAGTAAATTCTCACATTAAAACAAACTTTGTCACTGCCCTGACAAAGCACCATTCCTGCAACATTAATTTTCACACAAGAAAGCAAACATAAATTTTACCAGAATCTGTTAAACTAAACTGTAAATTTCTTTTGCAACTCCCAAGAAATAACCATTTTTCCAATAACAATTTTATTAGTCATGTAGAAAAGTGTAAAAAGCAAGTAGAATAGATTTTCTCCTTGTCAGCAATGATGGATTCAATCTCTGACTGTTAAGCAATTCAAACATCTGATTTCAGGGACCATTCTACTGTACTCAAAAAATAGGGGTTAAAGTTTAAGAATATCTATCTCTTTAAATGGATACAGTCCCAAGCAAACATGTACTAGTTTATATATTGAGGGGAGCATATGGTGATGCTAGAATTGGTTAATTTGCACCAAATTTAAATCCTTTTATTACTCTTTTGGAACCAAAAAATATTTTTTACTTTTTCAAACAATCTTCAACAGGAAAAAAAAAAAATCACAGATTTCTTTTAGCTTTTTTTTTTAATCACTCTGATTTAACTTAGTTTTATTTAACTTTATTTAGTAAATTAATTCAAAATATTATAATTTAGAGATTTCAGTCACCTACTAATCTTTAGCTCTGTAAATTATACAACCTTGACACTGAAAATAATTAATACAAATTTTCAATAAAGCAAACTAACAACTGTTCCCCTAGAGATTTGTATTAACACAAATTGACTGCATTTATTCAATATTTATATCACCACAAGCACTTTCAACCTAAATTCTATTGGTCATCATCAGATAGAATACTGTATCCAAACTTTTTCAAAATGTAACATTTCAAGATGGAACATTTGAACACATACAATTTAAGCATATAAAATTAAAATAAATTTATCGGACTATAGAGTACTGCCACCAACCCCTTGTAGTCCAAAACTTTTTTGAAAAGGAGTACCTTGTAATCTGACAAATTACATACTTATAAAAATGGTAAGATCAAATCTATATGTACTACATAATATACAATATAGGACTTAGTGAATTAAACAACACAATAGATAGCATAGGGTTTATTATAAAATTAACATCATTAACGCTATATCACTTGCAAAAAAATAATAACTAAACATATTGACATATTGATGTCAATCAATTACATACAACATATGTAAGTATTTCCAAGATACATACTATGTATGATCTTAATTTGAAAATGGATAAACAAAAATTTATGGTGCATCAAATATTCATCAATTTTCTTTTGTTTACATTGGCTAAACACGAGAGTAAGACCTTGTCTCTCACTCTCTTCAGAAGTAAAAGTTTGTTGTACGATGCACCATTCTGTTCAGTCCATTGCATACCGAGCTGCAAATAGGCATGTCGGATTATAGGGGGTGCTGGATTAAACAGGCACCGGATTACCATGGGTCTATTTACTTCCTAACAATAGATGAAATTCTGATGCTATTCTATAGCAATTGAGAGATTATAAGAATTATAAGTAACCAGTAATTTTGTTTTTTACAACAAATGAAAGCATCTTTACAAAGAACTTCATAATTTTTTGAATAAAGAACTTTATTTCTAGAAACAAATATTTATTAAATCATTATAAAGCCACACCAACTGCCAAATAAGATTGGCTATTTTCTGGCAATTATAATTTTAATTAAAATCACTGGAAAATATCCTGATCTTATTTGGCACTTGGTGTGGCTTTATATTAATAAATTGGGTTTTGAGAGATTATATATGTATTAAATCATTTTTGTTTTAAGTGGTAAACCATGAATATATCATTAAATTAAAATAGTTTGTTACACCAAGACTGAAAAAGCAATTTATAATCTAATTGTTTTTTTCAACAAAAGGCCAATTTAAAGATTAACATATTTGTTGGCCATATATTTTACGAGAATTTCTAAAATATTTTTCAAAAAGTTAACAATACAGGAGTAAAAAGAACTAAAAGAAGTATTTTATGGCAAAATAAAAACTGTTTAACTTAACATTACAGTTACATTTTAGAGAAGAATGTTTAAAATAAGAACTGTTAACATTACAACTGATGTTAGGAATTCTGATTTTTAAGTACTATGTATTGTAATGTCTACTAAAGTAGATGTTACTCACCTACATTATTCTATTAAAGAGGACAGCCAGCTTTTCCTCTGTTTAAATGTATTGCTGCTTGATAATAGTAAAAAGGTTAGGTCAGTGAACTGAATTTTAAAAATATTTCAAAAATTTGTTGATTTATAAAAAGATTTGTTAATATTTAT